CCATTCAGTTTATATGTACTTGAATGAAGACGTGTTTTAGGTTATTAAGAAACACCCTTTACAATTTTTTTAATATAAATTCTTAATAAAAGTACAATTGTTTTGTACTGTGGAGATGTACTTTCCTTACAAACAAAATTGCATTCAGACAAGTAAATATATACAACATTTAATTTAAGGCAGATGGAGTCTAGCCTGTCTCTTATACACATCTGTGTTGCTATGCAATTATATTAAAGTTTCAGCATTTTTTTTACATAATCCTATTCTACGATAATAATAGATAATTCAGATGTTAAATATATTCATAAAACCTATGAAAATAAAGAATTTAATAAACTTTAATCTTCCTGTATACTTAAATTTCATGAATAAAATAGGAAATTTAAATTTGCATAGACAACGGTTGCTATGGTGATTGAAATTGTAGTTTTTCTTAACGCAAGATTCATTTTCGATAATTACCGGGTAACGACTATTTTGAGTAAGTTTCACCAATTGTTGATGATGATTATTCGAGTAATGTTACTTTTTATATTATATAGCTAAAACTATAATTTAAAGCGGAAAAATGGCGGCCATTTTGAATGCATAATTTGGAGGTGTTCCCCCAAAGGGATTTTGGGTAATTTTGAGTTCTGAACTTCTCAAGACCTATATTTTCAGAAAATATCAAAATTAGCCGGTAGTACTTCCATTGCCACCTCGACGATTTTTAGAGGTCTTTTTGGCCATAATCTGCTCGCCTATTGGGGCAAGAAACTTTACCTACATTTGTCTCTCTTCACCAAGGATTATAAATGGGAGGGTCATGCTGTTAACCTGCTCGTTGGTGACACTGCTACGACTGTTCCAGTCAATTACTAACAGCAACTAGAATCGATTATGATTCATACGAACGAACTGTACTCTTCATTATAAGTCTTGCCAGTGAAACCCTACGCCTGAATAATGCCTACTACAGTTCGCCCTCCAATTCCAGACCACCTTTGGGCTGAAAATTTGGGTTGGTCCCCAATTAGATGGTTAGCTTTGTGTTAAAAGATTGAAGATTGTTGTTTGGGTCTTTGGAAAAGTGGTCTAGAAATAGAATGGTTTTGAATTAGAGGGGTCTCGGATTGGAGGGTGCACTGTCTTGGCTTGAGCCTTGCTTTCGCATCGCATAATCGCCACGTATCAAGACCGCTCTGTCGAGAATAAGAAACTGCCTCAAACGTCCAGAAAAAAATATCGCCGCAGGCCCGCATCGAAAGCCTTGGTGGGATTATTATTATTATTATTTATTATTATTTATTATTTATTATTAATTATTTATTATTATTTATTATTATTTATTATTATTATTATTATTATTATTATTATTATTATTATTATTATTATTATTATTATTATTATTATTATTATTATTATTATCGTTATTATCGTTATTATCGTTATTATCGTTATTATCGTTATTATCGTTATTATCGTTATTGTCGTTATTGTCGTTATTATCGTTATTATCGTTATTATCGTTATTATCGTTATTATCGTTATTATCGTTATTATCGTTATTATTGTTATTATTGTTATTATCGTTATTATCGTTATTATCGTTATTATCGTTATTATCGTTGTTGTTGTTGTTTTTGTTGTTGTTGTTGTTGCTGCTGCTGCTGCTGCTGTTGTTGTTGTTGTTATTATTTTTATAATATTTTTCAATTTGGCCTGACCAATAATAAACTGCCTATTGGTCTGTCTTAATAGCGGTATCCCCTGAATAGTGGTTGGCCGAAGTGTTAAAAGACATATTTCCACTAGATATAAATATGGCCAAAAAGTGTCCCCATTTTCGGCGTGTCCCCATAATATACGGATGTAATATAATATATTAAACCGTGTACCTGAGTCTAGATGCTGGGTAAAATGTTTGGCAATATACCAGTATCGCTTGAGACAGTCTTTGTATAATAGACAGAATTAATTAACAAAATGGAATCATAAATACGATAAAAACTTGGCACTTGTAACGGACAGGTTTATCAGTCGTTTGTGTGTTTGTTTGGAATCCAAAAACAGATACATAGAAATACAAAAATGACTGGATTTAATCCAAAGGAGATGGATTAGTTTTCATTGGGGTGGTTCTGGTATAAAATTTACAATATATGATGCAAACGAAAACAGAAAACATTCACATTGTACTTGGAGAATCTAGGCATGACTTTATCGATCTTTCAGGTCATTCAATAGATGCTGTTTTAATGTACGTTCAAATGTGTGTACATTTTCAATTTCCTTCAAAGAAACCGGATAGAGCGTTCCCATTGGAGATGCAATTGTTGAACAAGCTAAATTGTAAATGGGGTTTAAATTTAGGTACGACAAATTCATGCCTAGTTCCTCGAGTAAAGTATTTATGGACATTTTGCATGTTAGTAAAATCCTCAGTTAAATCAGTTGGACAGGTATTATTAAAGATTCGGATTGCATGATTGCAGGAAAGTGAATGGCTCTTACATTAATAGGAAGGTACCCGACGGATTTGAAGTCCTGTGTACCTTGGGCCCTCTGGCAAAGATAAATCTAAGAGTTTTGTTTTGTGTCACTTTTAGTTTATTGGTGTTGTTTATAGAGGCCTCAATACCAAGATGAAATATTGTAATCGAATAAACTAAATAACAGGGCAAAGCAAACAACTGTCCCGACATGCACCCTGACGGTATAAGAATTTCAGTTTGGAATTAACCTTTCTGAGAATAGACATAGCTTCTTCATTTAAAAATTTGTGAAGTTCCAAACCATGTTAAGTGACGGAGTCACTACATATAATTTATTGACCATTGCAAAAGATACTACAATTTTTTGCAACAAATCATTTACAATCTTTCGAATGTAGTCCCGAGTATAAATAAGACAAGTGTCAGTTGACAAAACCCCTCTGTACCCTGACTGGAATGTATACAATAAACCGTTGCTTTCTAAATATTCATTAGGCTGAATTAACATAAGATTTCTCAACAATTTCTAAAACTGTCGGAAGAACACCGATTGGATGGTGGTTAATTGGTGAGAATTTTTTTTTTCTTTTTTATTTTATAAAGGTTTGAATTTTGCTTTTGTTTGAGCATATCAGAAACTTGCTCAAATTTTATAGAAGTATTAATTGTGTGCGTTATGGGGCTGCTGAATCAGCAGCGTCTAAAAACCAAAACCTTAAAACCTGTTTATTTGCCTCTTTATAGCTACTTTTTTCTTCTTTTGTTTTTCAATTTCTCTGTTTCACCTTGCTAGCTAGTGTTGTTTGTTCCAGGTTAGGAGGCACCTGATCCTAGAAAAGATCAAGACTTAACTGATGCTAACCCGGAGTACATAAACACAGATCTCCGGTTGGCGGTGATGGTGTAACCCCATACTTTGGGTTTGGGTGCTAGCTTGGTGTTTATTGGTGTTTATTGTTTGTTTGTTTGTTATTTTTTTCCGGCTTTTTTCTTTGTGTTCTTGACTTCTATATTGTCTAGCGCAGAGACCTCGTTTATTTGCGCTATATAAATCCGTCTATTATTATTATTATTATTATTATTATTATTATTATTATTATTATTATTATTATTATTATTATTATTATTATCTCTTACAAATTTGGGTGGGATATAGCCCAGACCAGTGCTCTTGCGAGGATTAATATGCTTCAGTTCACTGATGATAACGTTCTCATTTATATCCTGAAGAGTAAAAGTACACTTATATGACTGTAACAGTTTTTAAATCTTTTGGAGCAGAAGTGAAAAATCAGTTTAGCTGATGGAAGTAATTTAACCAGATTTTGGGCTATCATGACTCCAAATCTGTCCGAGGGGTCCAGGTGAGTTTTGAATTACATAAATGCATGATCCACCATCTTGCCTGTTACGATCCATGCGATGAATAATATAGCCTGGTATTTCAACTTTCTTGTCACAAGTAGTAACATCCAGCCACGTTTCAGTGACAGCGATAATAATTGGAGAACATTTATCTGCAATTAGTCGAAGTTCAGATAATTTGGATGTAGCTGTTATTGAGTGAGCATTCATGTGAAGCATATGCATACCTTTGTTTTGAAGACATTTGAAGTCAGTTTCTGTATCCAAATTTGGAAGTTCATTCCTTTGATCATTCAATGACTTCACCAATGCTCCCGAAACATCTTCAAAAGAGGAGTCAGAAAACTGAGGTAATGAGCACCGTGTACAAAACAATTCCGTGTCTGAGACTGACAGCTGTCCATAAACGTTTTTGTCCATACCAATACATTTTGTGTGAAACCATATTTCACATCATTCATCGCAGAGTATTCCACGTTGATTTGCGGGTACAAATTTAGAAAATTATTCACAAGGGTCCGTTGGGCCCGGATTTAACGCAGTGTCTCCAACTAAAATTATTAAAACCGATCCTTGCTCCATCATAGGCCTACCATTGTTTTCCTGAATTATTGAGGCTTGGCTTGCCCTTCATAACCACAAGGGAAAGGCGCAATATAAATACCCTATACCAGTACCAGATACACCGGGTGGTGGAGCCAGCAATGGAAACGCTATTATCCCCGACAGGGAGATTCATCTGTAGATCACATTATATTAGTATTTTTTTTGTTATATTTAAATGATACTTTTGATGTATTGTTTCGTTAAAGCACTGTGTTAACAAAGTATATTAATAAAATTATGATACTGCCTAGGCCTAAATGGTATGTTTCAACATACATATCAAATTTAATATAAACAAAATTCAACATAAAAATTGCACTCTAATCTTGCTAACATTCACTTAATTCGTCATAAGGTTTTTCAGATTTACTCTTCACGTTTCTTGCCCATACTGCGGCTGCTAGTAATACAGCCTCAACTGAAGCCATAGTAGATAGGACCAAGATGTACCAGGTTGCTGTGTGCGATCCAGTGACGTCATATAGAGTTTCTGCAAATTGGTGAGAAAATAAAGAACAATTAATCAAATTGAAATATTTTGCGTATGGAGCTCTTTTCTTACTGGAAACCCTTACAACAATATCCAATGGGTGGGGATCGCTTAGCGGAAGAAGGTATAGCATGCAGTTAATTTTTATTTTCATTTTATTAAACTTTAACTGGATCACAAAAAGTAAACCAGGAAGACAAGTACAGGTGAACACCTACTGAGCCGTCTTACTACCGGATAAAGATCAATTAAAACTATAAAAATAAATATAATTAGCATAAAAATTAAAAAAATTGTCCGATTTGTAAAAAACATCAAATTAAAAATGTTTAATAGAAAATGTTCATGAGAAAATGTTTATTATCTAACAACAGCCAGGGCAGTGACAAAACGAAACCCATGTACAAATATTAAAAGGAAGAAAATCAGATTTCAATTTAGTATTATAAATTTCAAACACTTTGTTTTAGAAAGATTTAGCTCAAAATTATCAAATTAATGATTAAGACAGTCGATATAAACAAAATACTGTACGAATACAGCTAATACTCTATCGTCAAAGTTATTTCTTTTACTTAAAAAAACTGTGATCTGTGACTGTGATAAGGCCCCGTATATTAATAAAATGCGGCAACCAGTATTTTATATTTTTTAAGTACTGAACTCTATAAAAACCCAGACGATGGCATACACACAGTAATTTGTTAATACAGTATACATAATCCTTGAAATATTCAATATGCGCACCATGCGCTAACTACGAGAGACGGGCTGAACAGCAACATTGCGTTATATATTCAAACCGGCCATGATAACGTACCTCTGATTGGAGTAATCCAAAATGATCCGAAACCAAATATTATGTACACTAATGCAACTCGTTCAGCTCGCATCTCATTACAATTTATTGCTTCCATTACAACAGGGGGTAACAGCAAAACCAGAAAAATACGAGGTACGATAATCCCTAAAAAGAGAAATAAAAACAAATATGTATAGTATTACTTTTTACTTCAGTTACATTCGGCAACACTGCAACACGTCAACGAAATTAATTTTAGTATTCATAAAGATCAACTCCCAGACAGCGTCGTACGACGCAGCCCGGCGCGATTTGGTGTCGCGTAGAGTCTGTGTGAGTTAACGCAGACGCGATGTTTTGTGTCGGCCGGGAACAGGGATGTGTTGTTTTTGTACAAAAGTTTAAACTCTATGTGATTATAATTGCACATTAGTTTATATTTAACGTTCCAGTAGTACTCGCACTAAAAACTTAATCATATTTCCCTTTTGGCGGTTTCGGCTCCTATCGTACCTCCAATTAAGGAAAGTGTTGTCTAGACTCCTTAAAAGTTACTCTGGAGTTAAGCTGTTTAATTAATTTGATACCTATGAGAGTTATGAAGAAGATGATTCTGATAGCGACATTGATGTTTTAAATACCGCAACAATAACCTTTATGGGCGAATTTATATAAAGTTATATAAAGTATTCGTAAAAATTTCCATAGCTATGTATTTACACTGGTTTGTGTTACCTAACTAATGTAATTGTCATTCTAATTGAAGAGTTGCACAGATTTGCCATATGATATTGCTATAACCGGCCCTTTAATTATGCTATAAAATGATCGACTACCGGTACAATGTACGTTATAAAAAAAATAAAAAAAATTTTAATTAAAAAATTTAAAAAAAAATAAATTTAAAAAAAAATAAAATTAAGATGTGCTAGCGCCGAGATCAATCTTAATAACGTGATTTTAAATAGGCTTGTACATGCTAGCACTAATTAAAGAACATACTAGTTATAAATAATGTTTGGGCATTTAATTGGTGGTGATCAATTAATGATAAGCACAATAAACAGCGAAAGATTAACTTTGTTTTCTATATATCATTTTGATTTCTTCAATTTTAAACAAGTGACCAATGATTGTCGTGTATTTTTTGTATTTTAACTGAAAATTTTGTACGCACTACTATCTATCAATCTGATTAAAATCCGACAGAATTTTGGCCGATATCGAAAAAAAAATGGCCGAATTTGGCCGTTGGATTGCGTGTGTTTGGCCGTGAAGCCTTTCGACTATCTGGCAACTTCGGGACCGTCGCATCGTAGAATCATAAACATGTTTAATATTTCGCAGGCCAGACTCAAGACTGTCCCCGACCATGAATCACGTCGGGCTGTGTCGTACGACGCTGTCTGAGTTAAAATTTAGGCTAACAAAAATTGTTGTGTTGTTAAAGCATACTTAAATTTGGATGTCAGGGTCGGTCGTTAGATCGAAAATTCATATTTTGCGACCAAAGTCCAGCCGTCTGCCTGCGCCTACGCACTGCGCTCAAGACTTTAGCAGGCTACTCAGAATTCTCACGCAGTACCTATGTAATACTGCATTATACGCTCGGGCTTGTTTCATCTGGTGTTAGTCTATGATTTGTGGAGTTCAACAATCTTACCGACCAAAGCAACTTTTCGAACAATAGGTGATGATATAAATATCGTGCATATATATGGTACAGCTGCTATAATACAATGTGGTACGATGAATAATATTGGTTTCCTTTCAGATACTCTATCGTTCCATATCCATAACCTGTCTGTAGATACTACAGCGATGGTTCTACCAACAATGTCCCCTACACCTATCCATACTATTATCATAGGCAGTGAGAAGATATCCATCGTTCTGTCCCATAAAAAGTTGCCCTATGAAAACATAATGGAAAAAAATAATAGGCCTATTATTAAAGACATGGAAAAATAATCTTTAGGACAACAAAAACATCGATATTCTTTACTATCTCATAAGTAGAAACGTTCTTTGATAGGTCTATGAAAAAAAATTGCCAGAGGGTGCTACCGCCCATTATACTTGGCTGTGGTAGAGACTTTTTACACCAGACTGGATTGCAATGGATATTAATATTTAATAAAAATAATTAATAGCGTTTAATAATATTTTTACTGAAATAGGTACAAAACTTGCAGAGACAACACCCAGACAGCACTACTGACCCGTCTAGCTACTTACAATTTCAAGAGTGCAATAGTACCTTCTCTTTTGAAATGACTATCAATGATTTTGTTTTAAATGAGATTTTAAATATTAATATTTCCAAGTCGACAGGTCTGGACAACATGAGTGGGAAGCTTTTGGAAGCCGGCAGTCCATGTCATTTCTCCCATTATTACTCATCTATGAGGCATTTCTCTTTCACAAAGCATTATTCCTCGGGACTGGAACAAAAAAGTGTTTGGTAGTCGGTTCGAAGATTATCGAGCAGGCAGTGTTCATTCCAAACTTTACAATCATCGTTCTGAAATAATCTTATTTCTAGTAATCAATCTGGCGACCTGGATTCACTACACTAACAGCAGTAACTAACACACACGATAACTAGCTTAAAATTATCGACAAAGACCATCTTACTGGTACTATATTTATTGGCTTAAAAAAGCTTTTGATCTTGTCCAGAATGACATTCTCCTTCGTAAACTTTGTTTTGTTTAAATTTGCCCGCTATTAAATGGTTTTAATCCTATTTTCGCACAAATTACAGCAAGCCAAACTGCACAGCACCCTATCCTCTAATCGTTCTGTTATATTGGCATACCCCAAGGTTTTGTCTTAATGAAAATTAAAACAATATTTTGTTAAATGGAAGAATGCTAGCTAGCGATTAAAATAATTCGTTTTTTATCGAAGGTAAATGTAGCTAGGGCCTAGATAATCTACTACTTATTAGATTGCGATAGAACACGCTGCTGCACTGTCGTTGGTTCGTACTGGTCGGCTAGGTTAGGTAGTGGAAACTCGCACCTTCTCTACAGTAGTTTACAATTTTTTTTGAACGAATACCACTTGGTACTAGAG